CAAAAACCCGCTGAGTGATACACGTCCACCAGTATGGGAAAATATGCACATGGTCAACCACATGTGTTGGTGACACTGTAGAAGTTCTGAGAAAATTTCGTGAGATGCTTATTGGTTTCGCACCGAAACTTGAAGTACACCTCTTCCCGAATTCATCTATGAACTTCCATAACATGGTGAGAAAACTCCTGAGATCAGCTGAGAAAACTCGTCAACTAGCTCGCGCATCGCGAGTCGCAATTGCAGGACATCAGTATATGGACTCCGAGTCAGGCTTGGCTGCTTAACGACTTGTATTCGTGGATTCTTGTATTCGGCTTGTATTTGTATTCTCTGTATTCACGCATTTGTTTCTATGTTGCAACGCCACACATTGTGGGTGTCGAAATATCCTTATGAACTTCGATTATCATGTCGGTTATCTTTCTCCAATTCCTGCATACGTTTCTTCATCGTCTGCACTTCCATGGTTAATTCGCTTCTTTGACGCTGGAGTGATCGGCCTGAGGACGAACTCGATCTATTCAGGATGGAGTAGACAAGTTTGAGAACTCATCTGGAAAAATAATGAGATAGATCCAGATGTGATGGCGATATGATGATATGATATTAGAGGTCTCGTACCCAAGATAAGGGAACTTCACAGAGTGTATGTTCTCCTCATGCAAATTCACGATTCAACACTGAGTAAATAGTGTTCCACGCTGAAACATCAATAAGTCTTAGATGTTTGTCCATGGGTATTACCACTGTGGTAAGCTTTCACTGTGAAAGTTTCACAAGTTATTTCCTCTCATCTCGCGGCTCAAATACAACTCAGAATTGCATAAGCATCTTACTCAAATTCTCGAGAGCTTCTCGTTGAGTCGTTTCTTTTCGAATTCTCTGTTCCATCATCCCACGATCACGTTTGAGTCGGTCCACTTCCGATCTGATCATTACGAACACACTTTCTTCCTCTCTCTACACTAATCGCGCTTTCAGTGATTCTTATTCTCTATTTTCACATGCTTGGCCGCATCAAAGGGAATATTTTGATTGTAACAGCTGACACGGATATGTCCGCTGAGCGTGCTGGCTGTAGCGTTGCTGATATAATAGATTAGTGCAGTCACAAAAAAATGTGTTATAAATTGTTATTCATGATTATTGATTGTTATTCATTGTTATTTCACATGTCACATGGAGCATGGAGGATGGATGTCACATGTTACATGTCACATTCATTGTTATTCATTGTCACAAATTGTTATTCATTGTTATTTATGACTAATGCATATTGACTTACTAAATCGGGACTCACAATTCAGTAAGTCATTATGTCAACATAATGACTGTAGGACTATCACCGGAAGTCTTACAAGACTAATGATTCTCTTAAAGCGGGCCTCTTTTGTGTATCATTGGAAAAATCCGACTTCACGAGAGTCACAAGTCATAGAAAATAAAATAGGATTGTCGACCAGAGTCGATCGCAATTAGTTCGCATCAAGATGATCGTATCGCGAGGCTCGCAACGCGAGCGATCGTCTCGCGTGGTCATCTAACTGTTCATGATCTCAATCAATAGTCATCAACAGCGGTGAATGTAAACGGCGCGCTTCTCACTTGAGCTTCTTCAGCGCCTCAGTCGACTTGCCGAATACGCCGCCCATATCGTCGATCTTCATGCTGTACTCCTTTATCTCCTCTCGTTGTTTCTCCACACACAACACCAGTGAGTCACGCTAATCACAGAGAGACGGGGAAATCGCTCCCTTTCTTAGGCTGACTCGCCGAAGCGAGCTCAACTAACGAGCAACGAGCCAGTGTGGGTAAATGTGCACATGCAGCACGTAACATGCTCAACTACATGTGTTTGCGACAATATGAAAGTTCTGACGAAATTATGGAAAATTCTCGTTGGTTTCTGTACACTCCTACCCCACTGTACATGTAAACTCCTGAGCTCAGCTGAGAAATGCCCTCGTATATTCCAACACTGTTACGAGCGGTGGTCACTTACTTCGTTGCATAACTTTCTGATGGTTTCGTTTTGTTCGTGATGTGTGTTCTTATACTGTTCCAAAAGTTCATCCATCATCTTCTGTTTGGTCTGAGTCTCCGTTCTCTGTTCATTAACATCTTCAAGGAGCCCTTTCAATTTCGCTCTAAGCCTGCCGAGGAGGAGAACCGTTACAGTGATCAGGAATAGCGAGAAAGCTAAGCAATACACCTGATATCAGACCTTGTGCATAAATTGAGTAAATTGCGACCATTGTAACGTCGTTGAGGATTCCTCGATGACGTTGCAAATCGTAGGTTACGATTTTGTT